TGAATAATGTCTAACATTTGAACAATTTTTTAAAACATTTATCCGAGAGATGTTACGGTATTTATAAAATATGTGGGAAACGATACTCGCAACTATTTTTAAACCAATTTTATATATTAAAAGGTACACTAAGACGCCTTGATTATTCACTTATTAAAGCAAAGAATTTAGTAAATAAATAAATTATTTTTTATGTTTGATATTTATTTATATTATAATATAATGCACTGTACTCTATGCATAATTTTGATTAATTAATCCGCTAATTTATTATTTAAATTTGTTATTTTTAGATATAAGTATAATATTATCAAGGACTACTGCCAAACACTGTAAGGAATAAAATAAATTTTCGCAACATTCATATGAACTGTGATATACTGTATTGAACCGTATATTAAAAGTGTTAACGATTTCTAATAATATTTTTTAGATTCTTATAATTCTGTCATAGAATTTAATTCAATGAAACACAGCATGACTTTTCCATGTGAACAGTCAATGCTAAACAAGAATTTTAAAGATTTTTATCATTTAAAAACATTTAGCAAAATATTAAATACATTTATTTTGGAAAATATTTAATCACTTGGAATATTTCCACAATAGTTAGGAATAATATGCTGTATACGTATATCATTATAATTGAAACTGGATGACTTTGGGACTTAGTAATCTAAATTTTAGATTAGTTTTAAAAGTAATATTAATGAATTCCCATATTCTGAATGTATAGGTACCTAAATTTAAACTTGGGTATTTTACACACGATTAGTATTTAGTTGCGAAATGAGTGCTAATTAACCGTAAATAACTGTCATTTATTTATTGTACATGTGATTGTCATCAGATATTATTATAGTTATAGTTTGCTATATAAACCAGATTTTAATGCAATTTTAATCAGTCATTTGAGATGAACTACAGTATAATTTTCCTAAATAAATAAACAACTACATTATAAACAAAAGTTTCTTATAAATTGTGTAAACATTAATAACAAATAATTCATTAATAATTATTTTTTATTTCATATTAAGTGATTTGAACCATAATCAATCAATTTCACAGTAAGTTTATAAACATGAAATCTTAATCGAAATTTTAAAGTTATTTAAATAATTATATAATAGTTATCATTAAAATATACTATATACGTAAACATAATTTACTAGTATATTTTGTTTTTACAAACATACCAGTGCGGTGTGAAGGATAAAAATGTCCTCTCTTTCCAATCATTAGAAATCATATGAATAACGATTATGTTTAGCAAAAAACGTGTTTCAGATTTGAGTAAATAATTTGTGCAATAATTTCAAAGTTTGATTCTATGAGAGTATATAAGATTCCGTTCACTTTGTCTTACAATAAATTCTTAGACAAGAATAACTGTTTCTAAACAATATTTATTTCATATTTTTAAAGTTATAACTTTTGATATTATTTAATACTCAAGCAATTAAAGAATGTCCGCAAAGATTGTCAACAATTTGTCTGCAGTTCTCCATAAAGTGGATGATCTTAGACTAGAAGAGTGGCCAATGCCTGCCAGTCCACAAAGTAACCGTAAGTTTCAACATTTAAGTTAAATTTAATTAAATAAATAATTGGGCAAAATTACAATACTGAAAGATATTTCAAAATTAGTTTTCCAGCAATGTAATTAAACTATTTTATAATTAGAATTCCTGAAATTCTCGTAAGCATTAATTAGATTATTACGGTATTATTTAAAATAGTTAAAATCAACATTTCAGTGTTGATATTTTGAGAATTTGTTAAGTTTATCCAGTATCTCATCAAGTTTATTTATATGATTTTTAGTTATTTGGCTTATATTTTGTTTTTTAATATTTCATGATTTCATTTTAAATAATGGAATCATTTTATTACATAGAAATTTGTTATATTTTGTAAATACAGTAATAATAATTTTTCAAATAATATTATTTGTTTCACAATTTATAGTAAATTACTGTATATAACATTTTCCTTCCTGTAGTATATCGGAACAAAATACTCTAATTTATTAATTATCAGACTTTAATGCGAAAATAATTATTTTATGTTTAATTATCAAAGTATATCAATATAATTTTTTTTAATGTATACAAAGTTTATGTTGATCCAAATATTAATAATAAAATTGAGTATATGCACCTAATCATTTTGAACTTATAACTTTGGTATAGCATTTTAATAATATGACATCTAATATATAACAATAATTGTTATAATGACTGACAGAGGTATTACTTCGGACCAAATGTGTGGGTATATGTGGATCAGATGTGCACTATTGGAAACACGGCCGCATCGGTAACTTCCTATTGGATGAGCCCATCATATTAGGCCACGAGACCTGTGCCGAAGTGGTTGAGGTGGGCCCGGGGGTCACCAACTTCAAAGTGGGCGACCGGGTGTGCACTGAGCCGGCGGTGCCCTGTAGGCTGTGCTCGACCTGCAAGGAGGGCTACTATAACCTCTGCGCTAACATCTCGTGTCACGCCACACCTCCACACTCGGGGACACTCACACAATACTTCAATCACCCTGCTGACTATACATTTAAGTATGTCACCATTTACTACATATAAAAAACTTTAAAAATATAAAACAAACAAAATTGTAATTATTATAAAGATTTTGTATATTAAATGCAATTTAATTTTGTAATGAATGATAGGATCCCGGAGCAGATGACTGATGAGGAGGGGGCTATGATAGAGCCGTTGACTGTGGCCGTGTATGCCTGTAGGAGAGCACAGGTGACTGTTGGCAAAACGGTGCTCATCACCGGCGCCGGACCCATAGGACTGTTCAATATAATGGTGGCTAAAGCACTGGGAGCCGAACAGGTCGTTGTCACCGGTAATCATTGCATACATAAGACTCTTATTTTGAAAATATAACACAATTTAACGTTTCAATGAAGACATAAACGAGAAGCGCCTAAAGTTGGCGCAATCGGTGGGCGCCGACCATACAGTGCTCATCACGAAAGCCACTGAAGAGGACAAACTCGTCACAGAAATCGGCCAAACGTTGGGTCAGATGCCGGACATAACCATTGAGTGCAGTGGCGCGCCCTCCAGCACGCGGTTGGCGCTGATGGCCACCCGTGAAGGGGGAACAGTAGTGCTCGTAGGCCACGGGCCCTCCAACGTGAGCCTTCCCATTGCCGACGCAGCCATACGTGAAGTGAATATTCTCGGCTCTTTCAGATACAGGAACTGGTAATCCCTTTGTTTTCATCAATAATTTATCATATGATACATTGTCTTAAGCTATTTTAGTTTGAAAACAAATTCGCTAATAATCTCAGTATTTATAATGAATTTTCTAAATCCCTCAACGATTGGCACACTTTTATAAAACATTAGTAAACTTTTTAAAAGTCGATAAGAGATTAAAATCGAGATTATATACATTTTTTTATTTATCAAATACAGTACAAAACAGTATTATAAAAATGTTTACTTTGTTCAGTGATTTAGTTTTCAACGTCAGCGTAAATAAATGATAGAAATCTTATCGCTGGTAGTGTACTGTGTTATATTTATTTCATAATATGTATTTCATTTAATTGTTGACTAATATATGGTTTATTTGTTTACAGTTTTCCGTTGTCTATATCATTGGTTAGCTCTGGAAAGGTAAACCTAAAGCCTTTAATATCTCACAGATTCTCATTCGACCAAACATTGGATGCCTTTAACACGGCTTTCAAAGGGGAAGGTGTCAAAATTATTATCAAAGTTGAGCCTGATAATTAATTTTTTATTTACATTTTGTATTTTTTAATAAAGTTCTTAGTTTTATAAAATAGAAATATTTTAGCTAGTAATTTAATAATTGGTACTTTTTGGTATTTTTTGTACAACATAATACATACAATTTTTTTTGTAAAATCAGTAATAAAACTAGATTTCTAAAAACAGTATTGTATTGTATCTATGATTTCTATTGATATATAATATTATTTCAAATATTATTACAAATATTATTTCAAAGCATTTTTATGTAATCTTCTTGAATAATATTTTTATAGATATCATTTAAGTATTGAATACATTGAGCACATTTATGTGTATTTTATGTTTATGGTAAAATTTATAATAAAAACTGAAATCCTTTCAATTTTGTTATTAATGTTTACATTAAAATATAATTTTTAATTTTTGAATTTAGCTTAAAATCCCGGTGAAATCTTTAAAATTTAATTTAAAAACAATTTCCTAAGAATTTTAAAAATTAATGGCAAATAAAATTAATGTTTGAAACTTCATACCAGTCCCAAGAAAAAGAAATAAATGTAAAAAATAATGTATTACATTTTTTACATTAAAAAATATTTGTTCACATCGATTTCGTTTTCTTGAGATTCATATTTATATATAGTGTGTATATACTCATGTGTATTTTTAATTTTTAGTTTCAATCTTAAGTTTCACTTTACTTTACTTTCAAAAACATTTCAACAATTGTGAGAATTGAATGATATTTTGAGTACAAACAACACATTTATAGAATACAATTTCATTTACTATTTTGGTTGACAAGTAATCAGCAAACCATTGATTTGAGCAAATATATATGACAATTCAAGCGTTTATTAGTAACACATACTTTTGTTCATATATTAGCATTACTTGTATTAAAGTACAGTATCTATAATGAAGACTCTATACGAGACTATAATATAGATACTATAGAGTAGTCCCTAATGTACTGTACCTGAAATGTATCTCAATAAAATCTTACATTCATTCAAATGTACTATTTTTGATTTGACTTGTCGTTTTCTATTAACAGTACATTGATTTTTCATCTATGAGAAAATAACAGAAATTAAAAACATTAGATACATTATTAACACAATCTGACAAATAATTTTTAAGTGATATATCTGATGACATTGATAATTAAAAATTAGTTTTATTTTTACATCATATGTAAACATTAATGTCAACATATAAGATGTACCATTTAAAATTTTGTCTCACATATTTCATACATGTTCAAAAGTAAAGGCAAAATTATTATATAATTACCGTTTTATGCATTTATTTATGATATATTTTGTCTAAAAAAAGTTATTTATTTTAAGAATAATTTTATTATAGGTTTTGTAGAAATAATGTGATTTACTTTTACTTAAACAAAAGTATTAATTTAGTATTTACGATTAGTGTAACAAATTGAATAATTACAATATTATACTGTAATTCAATTCATTGTACAGTTTTCTATAAACAAAATAAATTATTTAAATGTTGTAAATTAATTCAATCGCAAACTATATTATTAGTTTATAATTTATGCAACATTTTTAAGTAAAACTAAAATAAAATTAGTTTTCTGAGATAAATTGTATAATATGTGTTTTACTTTCAATTATTAGTACAAAACGTTTTACTAATTATATATCTATTAATGCATAACGATATCACGTTTTATTATATTATTTCCTTTTTAAGATTTCTCGCAAAAATGAATTAATGAATTCCGGATAAATTTTTAAAAATTAGTTTATTTAATTTATTATAAAAATAACTTTATGTCAATATTTTAGACATGTCATTATTAAAAACTAAATATATTAATTATGTTTGCTATTTTAACAAAAATATAATTAAAAGTAAATTCTCACAATTTTAATAATAAACAATTCTTTGATCACTAATCCCTTTGTACTATGCGTTACACTTATTAATTTATGCTATGGTATATAATATAATATACTATATAATATACTATATATATAATTAATTACCCAGGTTTTAGTCATAAGGAATCATTGACTTTTACAGAAATTAAAGTTTTAATCATAAAATAATGTTATTTTTATGTAATCCTTTAAACTGATACTAGAATAGACTTTTATACTTACAAAATATAAACTTCATACTGTATTATATTAAATGATATATTTTAATTAGGTATTTAGGTATTAGTAATACGGTATTAAATTTTTATTTAAGTTGTGAACAAAAATCACTTTACCGTTATTGCTTTTTAAAAACATTGTTTTGTTTCTTATCATAAATCAGATAAAAATAAATTTAAAGAAAAATTGTTTTATAATTATATCGCAGTTTTCCAAAGCAAATACTAACGATTAAATAAATTGTATTGACAAAAACGAGATATTTCTAATGAAAGCCATAAATATCTATAATATGTTTGTGTTATGTTATAAACATTGGGTGCGATAAACATATAAACAATGAGAGACACTATTGTCGACAATATTTTCACTTTCACACATCACTTCATTATGTAATACATTATGAAAAGTATAACTGTTTAACATAATTCAAATGATAAGGGTTTATAATTACATGTTATGGTTCATATGGTTTATTGATTTTCGTGTAATTTACTTTTAAACTGTACTATTCATTGCAGTTTTGAATAAGTAATTAAATCTTATGTGGATTTCCTTAAAGTTTTCGAAAAAGTCTAATTAAATGTATGCAAAGTTGTGAGTAAGTGGGGAGAGAGAGAGAGAGAGAGAGATACGGGGAGAGAGCGGATGGGTCTTAATATGTGAATAAATTGTTTGACTTATTATATTAACTGTAGCGCTGGAAAAGCGCCAGACTTTGTGAGTCAGTTCAGTGTATTTGCGGTAATAAAACAATTTGCTTTCCACTGAAATACTATGAAAATCAATGACTTTTTTGTTATTTCTGGGATAACCACAGCGACTAATCTATAAACGCCACTGTAAATAGAGGACTATTTTTAAATAGTCACTAATTTATTAGATAAATCAGCGCTTCATTTATCAAAACTAATTTTCATTCAATAATATCGCATAATTTAATTGATTGAGTAAATAATTTTCTTATCAAATAGTTTTTCATAAACTCTTGGATAGTCCTTAGTTTTGCATAAATATTATTCTGAATAATGTCTAACATTTGAACAATTTTTTAAAACATTTATCCGAGAGATGTTACGGTATTTATAAAATATGTGGGAAACGATACTCGCAACTATTTTTAAACCAATTTTATATATTAAAAGGTAC